GACTTTGAAAAAGAAATGAAACAAAAACTTATGAAAATGTATTTATATTTAACAGAAATCCAGTTATAATTGCCACCTCACACTTAATCTTAGATCCAATAAAGAATAAATTAAGTTGATTTGGGTGAAGATAATTACTCCAACTAAGTTTTATAATGGCACAATGTGAAATTGTTTCCCTAACATGTGATTTGTACAATGCAATCATAAGGAGAATAGTTTTTGCAAAAATATCATGCGGAAATCCGGCTTTTTCAATGTGTCTACTATGTCATCAGTCTAGTCCACCTCCGTTGTTAACTGGCTGGTGGTAACCCTGACAGGATCCTCACTTGTAAACAGATCTGGGGGTGCTCCAAGGCATTCCTCAACATCATCTTCTTGATTTCATGAAAAACTTCAGGTTTTGCAAGATTTGTAATTTTATCTTACAATCAAATTATATCACATCTTTCAGAAAGTGTTTCTCAATCTTGAATACACATTAGGATTATGTGGGAAACTTTCAAAAAATGCCCCACTTCCAGAATTCAATTGGTCTAGATGGAGCCCTGGAATGAGCATCTTTTTAAAACTCCCCAAGTAGGTCTAACATAAATCAGTGAGAATGACCAACACAGCTCTTCATAGCTCTTCATGTCAGCATTGAACTGAGAGAGATGTTTGGAGTACCATTATAACAGATAGGTTCACCTGTGAATATTTTCATGTTTGAATGATTTTTGTCTCCCTTTGTATTCTAATTATTTCAGGGACTCTGATAACAAATATCCAGGTAAGACCCCATCCCCAACCCTATACCACACTCACCTTCCTGTATCAGGAGTCCCAGATATATTGTTTCCAGATGTGTATCATCTACAGACACTTGGATCTCTGTATCTTCCACCAATCTACAGTTGAGCCAGTACTTGTGGTCAAAGAGGAGATGTTCCAGACATGTGGATACATAGCCTAAGAAGTCAAGCCAACAATATTCCTGAACAAAATGATTTCTGCCATTAGCTGAGCACAGGAGA